CAAGTAGTCTTCCTTTGGGATTACAGGAACTAACAAATGGTTATTTTCACAAGCTGCCAGTCTGCAACAGGATCATAATGGAAAAAGTGACTCTAAAGCTGTCTCCTCGTATCCCACAGTATGAGACCCTGGCTCCATACAGTGCCCACCCAGACTAACTTAAGCAATTTACTGGACAGAGAGTAGAGTTTTTCACACAAAATCAAAGGAAGAGCTGCAGAAACTCATGCAACTCCTGAGAATTTCAACAATTGGAACCATAAACCTGACTTCATCAATGCACTTGATTGATGATTCACAACTCAGTGAATGATTCACAACTCAGGACTAAGAGGATGAAAAAAACCCTCTTCCCTATTGGCTCTATTTTAGAACGTCCCGGATCCCCTCCCCTCTCATTTAGGGCACATGTTTAGCCTGGATCAATCATAGGTCCAGAGAGATTGGAGGCTAAGATTGTCTCAGACTGTGTCATGTGACCACCCCATGATCAGGATGTTCTGGGTATTTTACAAAAATAAATGGAGGGCAAGTTTGTTGATTAGACTTTAGGATTCTCCCAATGAAGTGACTACAATGGCTACGTAAATACATGACGAAAACCATGTTACATGTGTTGCTAAGATGTCAAGAAAGTGTAGAAACTACAGAAACCAAAAACAAACTAAAAGAAGGAATCCTGAAGAGTGTTTTGTCTGAGAATTTTCCCAAGCCTTGTGATCTAGAGCGTCAAGGTTTGTCTTCAAATAATTGCAAAAAGTGTAGGAAACAGGGATTGCAGGAATCTAGGCTGGCAGCATGAAAGCTGTTATCATCCTCAAAAGGATGAGGAGGAGAAAATATTATCAGATTCTGAGATGAGAGAGAATCATAGAACATAATCCAGCTTGAGAGAAGCAAGGATCTTTTTTTTTTTTTTAGAGATTTATTTATCATGCATACAAGACCTGAGGTATAGGCCAGAGGTGTGGGGGAAGGGGAAAGGTTTCACCAGAAACAGAGTGGGAAAAAGAACAGGCGGAGCTACTGAAATACACTGCTGAGGGGAGCGGAGGGCAAGACAGGAGAGGGTCTGCTGTGTCACATGGGTCCCTCACTGGCCAGGGATCGAACTCATGCTGCAGTGGCTGCGGATGGCTTCATGGTGCTGTGGGCCTATGTGCTCATGCCACCAGGGAGGCCCAGAAGCAAGAATCTTAATTGCAGAACACAGCCCTTGGAAGAAAGAATCCAAGTGAAGGATTAGCTCAACCTCTCTCCTTCTCTGATCTCCTGCTCGATTTTGGTCAAATCTTACTGCAGCCAGAGGCATGAGAACCCTGTTGAAGTAATCCATACGGATTAATCACCTAGGCCAGAATAAAAGGTGGATCTGTAGAAGTAAAGAGAAGACATTTACCACACTTACATACTAAATGGTCTGTGTCTTTTACCTCACTGCCCCCACCTTCACAACTGCCAGAATGAGCTTTCAAAAAAAAATTCATTTCCTAAAACCCATCAGGTCTTCCCATGTCATTTAAGAGTTCCATCATGAATAATCTTCCATACCTTGTTCTCTCAACATAATTTGGACTCTACCCATCTCCTCAATTCATCTAGCTAGCTTCACTTTTTCCCTTACTGTCTTTACAGCTTTGTCTACCTTTTAGAAATCTCTTCCTTGAATTATGTGTCTAGGTTCTTTATAGTCAATTCTCACCATAAATGTCATCTCCTCAGAGAAATCTTCCATAACCACCCAATTACAATCCTTGGTTATTTCCTAAATAACATTATATAATGCACGGTTAGGTTGTTTACCTATTCGTCTATTTGCTTATGGTCCCCGCCTCGCCTACTAAATCATAAAATCCATTAAGAGGACTTTCTCGCCTCATTTACCATTTTATCACTAGTCGAAAGCATGGTACTGAGCACAAATTAAGTGCTCAGAAGTTATTTGTTGAATGGTTGAATAGTTCCTCGTCAAAAGAATTGTCTTCAGCATCTTATGTGTCAGCTACTTACTAATGTGACAGACTTCCAATAGATGCTCTGTCAACATGGTGGTACTGATATTAAGTAGTCATCTGTTTAAAGCTGACTGAGACTCTCTAAAGATCTTAGCACTGTAGATATCCTCAAAGACAGGAAAAATATACTACAGTTCAACAGGGAGTTGAAGAGGAGACTGTCTGAACAAACAATACCTCTGCTTGGGTTTTAAAGAATAAGTAGAAACATAAACTAAGGTACAGTAATATTCAGTGAACTTCCTAAGAATAGAAGAGACAAAAGAATATTTGCAGATTTGGAATATCTGCTGTTGAGAACATGCAAATTGTGTATTTTTTTATTATTCTAAAAACCTAGCTCCACACAAAACACTATCCCAGTGTCAACAAAGGGCTCTTTCTGTCCCAAACAAGCCTGTGTATGTAGCAAACCAATCCTACAGGTGAGGCAGTAAAAGACAGAATGTAAGAGTTTTAAACTTAGAGTTATGACTTAAGAAGTCAAAATGAGAAGTCTAAAATGAGAGAAGTAGTGAAGTAAGAATTGATGGGTTTTAATGACTGATGGTGAGATATAAGGAAGAAGGAGTAGTGTAAGTTATTTGCAAAGTTTTGACCCTGGTTGAACACAACAATAGTTGTACTCACCATTGAAGAAGTCTCCGGGGGATTGGAATGGATGATGACACTTATGGTTAAGTTCAGCTGAGGTGAGTAGGATATCGAAATGCAGTTCCACTAAGTGGTTTGAGTTTTGACTGAAATTCAGAAGTGTTGAAAGCTGGGGATGTGGACTTGGAAGCCATTTGTATAGGGTAAGATCCTGCCAATATTAAAATTATGATCTGAGGACAGATTCTAACTTCCGAGAAGCCACAGATACTGTAGACACTCAAGAAAATTATTCTTTATGTTTTGTTCTCTCAAGAGAGAGAAGAATAGGCAGAGTATAGTCCACAATGAGTACTGTTCCTTAGAAATCACAATAAATACAACTGTCAGTGTATATAATATGGAAAAACAGGCCTATTCTTATTTGTGTTTGTGTTCCCTATGCCTTGCACACAGTAGCGACTCCCCCAATGCTTGTTGAGTACATTAAAATGTAAACTAGCTTTTAAAATAGGGCCTCCCCTGGTGGCACAGTGGTTGAGCGCTGGGCTGAGAAGCTGCCCATAGCCTCTGTAGCGCCTGCTCTATCCCCAGCCACCAGCGAGGGTCCCACATGGTGCGCAGGCCTCTCCTGCCACGCCCACAGCCCCCCTCAGCAGTGTATTTCATCAGTCTGCCTGTTCTGTTCCCTGCTCTGGCTCTGGTAAATTTTCTTACCCTCCTGCACTTCTTACTATATCCAGTGCTTATATAAATAAATAAATAAATCTAAAAAAAAAAAAGATAATAAATATACATAAACTCTAAGCATTGGGAAAGGTTTACAATGCTCAGTTTTTACCCTAAGTAACTTTTGTTGAGAGTAGAGTAAAACATCCACAGAAATTAGAAAAATTCTGTTTGTTGTTTCTGGGTTTTGTTTTTTAATGAAAGGAATGAAAGAGATCAAACTTCTTCCTTCCTTTTGCACCTTACTTAATCATAAGTAACAGGTGTTGCCCCCCCCAAAAAAAAATCAGCCTTGAATCATTGTTATCACTAATCTTC